TAAGATTAATTATGCACAGCTACCAGCCATCATATTCGATGGTGTTCAGATTACTCTTTGTGAGAGTGTTAAAAATTTGGGGATATTGATTGATACAAATCTTACTTGGGGATTTCAAATAGAAGTATTGAGTCGTAAGTTGTTTGCTGCAGCGGGTTCCTTAAAAAGACTAAGAAATTTTCTTCCACTGGCCACTAAAATTGCGCTGGCACAGTCTCTACTCCTCCCAATCTTAGATTATGCCGATGTCAGCTATCTAGACCTTACCGAAGAGCAGTTAAATAAACTTGAGAGACTTCAAAATGTTTGTATTAGATTTATATTTGGTTTACGCAAATATGACCATGTTTCCGATTTCCGTGCTAAGCTCAAGTGGCTGCCAATTCGTCTTCGCCGGAATGCACATATTGTTTCCCTTCTTTACAGTATTCTGTTCAATCCATATTTACCGGTTTATCTTTCGGAACGTTTTAAATTCCTTCACAATACGCACGTTAGAGTTTTGAGGTCATCGGAGAATTATCAATGCCAATGCATGCAAGTAAATTCATGAATAAATCATTTTCAGTCCAAGCGGCCTGTCTTTCGAATGCATTGCCAGAGGTTATCAGACGCGCACACAGCATACACGTTTTTAAAAGACTGGTTAAAGATTACTATCTATCACTCACCTTGAATCCTTAATCTCCTATATTTGTGTAGGTATATGCTATATTGTATGTATATTATATGTATGTATAATTTATTGTTTTTGTGGTATTTATTACTTTATTCATTTATTAAATATATGTATATTTTATTTTTTATTTTTTTTTACTTTACTAAAGTTTTGAGACACCATAAGCTACCCAAATTTAGATTGTTTTTTTTTTCCTGTACGCAAAGGTTGCCTGGAAGAAATTACTTTTTAGTAATAAGGCCGCCAATTGTGCATTTAATTTAATTGTATTCGATTGTTTTGTCCTGTATTGGTGTACAATAAAGCATATTTCATTCATTCATTCATTCATAATCTTATGATACCAAATGGTATATACAATCACAATAACAACCAAGTGATTGTGATATGTGATGGTACATATATTTATATTAATAAAAGCAGTAATTATATGTTTCATAAAGACACATATTCTCTACACAAATATAAGAATTTGTTAAAGCCATTTTTAATAGTAGCATGTGATGGATATATTTTGGATTGCTTTGGCCCAAACAGAGCTACTAAATCTGACGCAGAAATAAAGTGTTCTTTATTCAGAAATGAAATTGCGCCGTTGAGATAGTACTTCCAAGATAATGACATATTTATTCTAGACAGAGGTTTTAGAGATAGCTTCAGTTTATTAGAAAGTTGCAATTATAAAGCATATATGCCTGAGTCGCTTTTGGAAGGTGAACACCAGTTAACCACCACCCAGGCAAACAGAAATAGATGTGTCACAATATGCAGATGGGTGGTGGGGGTTGTAATGAGTATTTAAAAAGAGATTTTAGGTTATTACGATTTGACCATTTTAATAAAACCGTACCTCAAATGTTTGAGTATTTCCAAATTGCAGCTTGTTTAATTAATAAGTTTGGTGTTCGCCTACGTAATAGACCTGATGCTGCTCAAATTCTTAGTATAATCTATGAAAGGATGCCACTGGAAAATAATTTGGCGAATGTAGTTCCCAGTATAATTTGAATCGCCGGGCATCCTTTTTTCAAAATATTACAGACAATACAAATAATGTAGAGTTCCCCTGTCTAGAATTCAATGAATTAATATTGTTTGCCTTTGGAACTACCAAATACGCCAGGCACGTTTTTATTTATGGTGAATGTAAAGGCTATCGAGCCACGCCGCGACAACAGTGCCACCAACGGAGAAACAAAGAAACCTTCCCCTCCCCGCGCGGTGCGGGGTAGCGTACCCCCACTCTAAGGAATCTAATAAGATTAACTGATTTGTATATATGAGCTAATATGAGCTAAGTGCGATCAATCAAATTGTGCATAAGTAATCGATTTTGCGCAATAAACATGTTCTGCCTTCGAACGTTCTCCGAGTTTCTCCGAACCAAGTGTTTTACTCTGCTACCTGCCCGCTTTTAAAATCCAGTCTACAGTCCATCTGCTACAGTGAACATGTACGTTTCCATGGTGGATATAGAATAGAAGTATGTTTAGACACAAGTCATATATCTGAGTTAGGCGGTGATGAAAATATTCTAATAAAAGGACTAATAAAATCCAGGCATGTCTCAAGGCGCCAGTATTATGTTTATATTTTAATTGTAAATGGTGTTAATGGACGAGAAGGCATTAAAGACTATTGTTGCAATTGCCTTGTAGGACGTCGTACTGTAGGTTGTTGTGCACATGTCATGACGATTGTGTGGTATCTGGGTTGGACTAGGCACCAAAATAACATTAATCCTCCAGCTGCATTTTTGGATGAAGTAGTTGTAAAAGAAGATAGTGTTAGTGAATAAATAATTTTTTAACAAACACTGTTTTTTATTTCTATTTTATAGTATAATCTTAGACTGAAAACATAATATTAAAATCTGCGATCGATTTTAATATTCCAAATATACTTTGGTCAAAGAAATAGTAGCAATGCAAAGAAAATAAAATTGTTTCGAAAAAATCACAACATAACATCAAACTTTTGTGTACTGTATTGCATTAGAATAATACTTTAAAGCTGTGTGAGATGTGAAAATCATAAAATATTACAATACATTTTCAATAAAATTAATAAATGCCATTAAATAAAACTAAAATTCGTAATTACCTAGAGTTTTGACAGTTGTTATAACCTCAATATATTATTTACAAATTACACTTTTCCCTGGACTTTAAATGAAAAGATTATTTGTTAAAATTCTATTATAAGCAAAAACCAATTTAAAATAACACCATGTGTAAGTAGACGCGACCTATAAAAGAAAACGAATGACAGATCAATCAATGTATGGAAAGTGGACATGATTCTTTGATATATTGTAATAGCCAGACGTATAGAGCTGTCAGAGACTTATTTTGAAAATATCTTCCTTTTCTTTTTTTTCTTTTAGTATTGGCTTACCTGCTCATCTGCCTTTATTGAAAATATCTATGCATATTTTGTTGAAATTTTATCTGTCATAGAATTCACTTGACAGTGTAACGCAAAGATAAGCCATTAATAAAAGAAGAAGACTTCTGTATCGTTATTCTTGTAAAACTATTGCAATCGACATAGTAGGTAAATGTTAATATATCAATTGTATAGTAAAATGTCTCTTCTATTAAATGAAACAATTTTTAAACGGTTTTTATTTTATTAGTTTTATTGACTTTTCGGACCCTTTAGTTTAGAGGTTCCGTGTTCACATAAGACCATTAATTGCTTACTATTGTATTTACAGTCAACTACACTTCAGACCACAAAACTGTTAAATTTCCTCACGCTATTTCAAACCTTACTTTATTGACAGTAGAGGTCAGAATCCATATCAAAATATTGTGGTAACCTGTCATGCAGCCACGTGTACTTTCTGTCGCTAGATCCATTTTATAAAAATCAAGCGTCATTTACAAAGTCGTCATGTAAAAGATGGCGACTTCGTAAATGAAGCCCGTAGTCGTCAACGCGGCCGGTCCGCGTTACACTAAAACCAGTCTATAAAATAGAATTTTACTTTAATTTTAGTCAACCGTTCACAATAGCTAGGAGTCGCTCATCCACTGTCCGTGTACGGCCGAAGAAGTCCAGTGATGCAGGAAGGTCAGTAGGGGAGTTCGGTGTAGCGCTCCAGAACTCGGATGACACTCAATATGGAGCGAGTCCAGAGCCAGCGCTACGAAACTCAGATATAGGGTTGATTATCTTGAAGTTTCCCAGGGGTGGGAAGGAACCCTAAAGCAACAATAAAGAACATCGTCACAGTTGCTTTCGCTCCGAATGTCTCGAGAAAAGCGCGGTCTCTAATTTTGTAGCTTACACAAAACAGGATTGTGCCTGTGCCGAGGAGAGCAATAGACTTTAGTCACATTAGCTGTGAAGCGCGTCGTCGCCCGTCTATTTTGTGTCTACGGACAACAAATTTTATGACTGCAGTTTTAAAAAAATCATATTTTATTTATTTTAAATATAAACCATTACAACAGAGGGAAGAGCTGACGGGTTCGAGGCTAGACCTACAAAGAGGATAGCAGACGAAGGAACGAAGTCTTACAAGGGTGGACAGACCCCAACTTCATTTCGACACACCGACGAACCCATCTCACGTATCCAGCTCCAAGGTGTCAGTTCTCCACACCCCTTTCCCCCCGAAGGGACTATGATGCGCAAGCCCGCCGTTATCGTTCCCATTGCACAGGCAAGATAAGACGGGCAACGGACCGAGCACGCGTAGAGTTTGTCCGACTGGCACCCTAAACCCGAGCACCCTCGTATATTGTCCTAATAACAATATTTTCTCGTCTTCATTGTCGCCATCGTCCCATTCAAAAGATGAAGATACAAAAAATATGATATGTATCTACAAAGTCTAGCTGTGGTAAAATATAAGCGGCGATTACAACACTATACATAGGGTCCTATAATAGATAACGTAGGGCACTAGATGTAGAAAAGTGTAAATACATGGCTTAGTGTACTACATGTAATGTAATCACAAGTAAGGGGTTCTTGGATGGACCTGATCAAATCGAACAGGAAATGTGGGCCATGACCTTGGGGGTGTTAACGATTGCAAATGCAGAAAAACATAGCAGACCGGACGCACTAACCATGCAATGTTGATCTCCTGTAGCCATAGATGTAGCTACAGCATTTATAAAAAATGACGCATTTTCACGCGCGACGACACGATGCGTTTTCTTTTATTTTATATCGATTCACTCAGTAGTCTTCAGTCTTCTGTATATTGCTACCAGAGATTTTGAATAAATCATCAAATATCGTCGTCTATATTTTGATTTGAAGGGTGAGCGCTGCGGCGACTTAATTTTTTAATTTCGTCCGACTCGATCTTTTTAACAGTATCGTAGCTAAGTTGACGAGCTCCATATATTCGAATGACTAAAGGACTCTGCACGTCTGGGCGCCGATGCCGTAATCAAGATCCGGCCGTGAGGAAGGAAGCGGAAGCGCATCCATCCAGCGCGGGGTGCATTGGCCGTAGCACCGCGGCGGTGACGTGAGCGGCGGCGGCGGTGGAGCTTCAGAAACCGGAGCCGCGTTAGGACGGCTCTATATATAGCGCGGGAGGGGGGGTGGGGGGGAGCGCTCGCCGGCCGCCACTCTCCCGTCCGGTGTCAGAGCCGCCTCGGTCGCCGCGGACTCCACATTCCAACGTCGCTGTGCTGCCGCTCGAGGAACCAGTGACCGAGTGACCGTCTTCAACCCGTGCGACGTAAGTGCCGCGCCGTGGAGTGCCAGTGATACCGCCCCTAGTGCTGGACCTTTGGTGATACAATACTGCTGAGTGATCGCCGCGGCTAAAAATACGCCCCCGCGTCGCACCGTATCCGGGCGGCGGGCGCGTTGTGCGCAAATAGCAGCGCCATGTATAGTGTCCGCGGATTACGTTACCGTCCCGCGCCCGCCCACCCGGTGCCGGACGCGAGTTCTCTATGTGGAAAACTCACCGAAAACCATGTTGAATTGTTATCTAGTGGGTCGAACGTGCGCGGTAACCATAGTTACCATGTTTGAATGTTTTTGCACACGGCGCCACCCTCAAGAAGACACACATGATAACTCACACAAAATTATATCTTACTTTGATCTATGACTTATCTTCATAAAACGCTAACAATAATATGTTCTTTCATAGTATACAATGTGTAAATACTTTTTTGTTTTTTTGAAATATTTTGCAAGTAATAAGTTTGTTCTTACATAATCATAATATCAATTTAAAAAAAAAAAAAATATTAAAGTGTATCACATAAATCTGTAACTAGTCAAAATCAAATATCTCAAAGTTTAAAATTTAGCCAGGTATATAAGCAGAACTCGATAATAATAATTATTACATTTACTTTCACTACAAAAACTCACAAGGCAGTAAAAATGAACATGTGCTACTTTTAAAATAGAACGTTCATTTAGAATCGTACAAACGATTAAAAATCCATCAGACTTGTGATCATCTAAAAATAACTGCCCTATTTAATTTGTTCCTTGAAAAGTTGAAAGAAAAATATATATAAATACGAGTACGATAAACAGAACATTATGTGAAGAAAATTATTTCCACAATCAAGGATAGAGGAATAGTGTCAATATTGTAGGTAATATTATTGCATTTTGGTTTCAAACTTATATTAGTTTCAAAAAAACCAACAGAAAAAACAATAATTACCTAATTTGAATCAACCACATCACTCAACTTTAAATTACCCAAAACTAATTCATTTCTCCAAATTAATAATATACCTTATTTCGTTGTAATTAAACAACAAATGGATTGCATAAGTTTAACACATTCTAGTAATGTGATGTCCTAACAAAACATAAAAACATGAATTAATATCGATAACTTTTCTATTCAAATACTATTGAAATTTATGACTGGACTAGACTAAAATATAAATATTAATAAATAAATATTATGGACTAGACTAAAGCCTCAATTAAAACTTTTTAATAAAATAAATTGAAATCAAAACAGTACAAAGATTGTGAATGTTATCTGCACAGTTATAATTCTATTAAAATATGCAAAGTTCATAGAAATTCGAATCCTAGGCATTCAGTTGATGGAGGAATCCATTTTTACGCTTTACTTGAACCGGTGCCAGGAGCGAGGCGGCTGTAGGTGTGTTGTATGGCACGAAAGCTAAGACAGCCAAAAATAAAACCGACTTCATAAACAATACGATGGTTTCCCCTGCTCGCCACATCGCCCACGCGAATTTTTTCAGCACTTGGCAATGTTGATATAGATGCAGCGTAACTTGACACGTTTGAATCATGTCGTTTTGTTGATAGACGGACCTAGATATTGGCACTTCCTTCAACAACAATCGATAAATTGAAATCTATTAATGTTCTCAAATATTATAGCTGCGTTTATGTTAATTTTTAATGCGATGTTAATCAGACAAAGGGATTCAATATGACATACACTTCAAACACCATTTAGAATTACGTTTAAAAGTTTAATAGTTGTCTTTAATTTAGAATTTCCTTCCACAACTTTGGGAATGCTCTGAAATGGCGTCAATCAGAGATATACCATTGTTAAATGAATGGTATTATTGGACAGAGAACAATATGCCAGTACGTAATTGTACCGCACACACAAGTTTGATGAGGTACACAACGCGAGCCACTGCGGCTGTATTAAACGTTCTCATTTGTTTTTCAGAATAACAAACTACCAACATGTCTGACGAGGAAGAATATTCGTAAGTATTTCTTTTACACATCCGAACGATATAATTAAATATTCAGAAATTGTAATAGTCTTATCAATCATACCGTAAGCATATGATACACAAACACAAACAAAACTTCAGAATTTCATAAACATAGTAAAGTTCCCAAACCTCCTACTGTTTGTGTTAAATGAAGTCTGTTCTTATGTGTGCTAACAGAAAATATTCCCATCCCCTTCATTTGTCGTATGTAACTAGTATCAAAATTTCCTAGTGCGGTGGAAAGTGTATTGTAAACGTTTCATATGTGTTCCACAGTGGCTCCGAGGAGGAGGAAGTCGAAGAAGAAGTCCAGGAGACGTAAGTATTTAGCGATAGTCTGCAGGTCCCCAATTCTCCTATCAAAATTTAGTTTTTTTTTTATCTAGAAACTGTTTGGTTTTGAACACTTCGGCTTTACTGGGCGTGGTTTCCTACTCTGCCTAAGCGAATCTATCTTCCAAAAACTATTAGAATGAACGAAAACTCACAACAGTTTATCAGTTTTAGTTTCTTGTAAAAGCTGTGAACGACATGAGGCATGGCCGCAACTTTGAACCCCATTTTCTTCGATCTCCCGACTCTTGGGCTTGTTTGCACGCCCTCACCAATCCCTGTTCTCTCTTTTGTTGCAGGAAGTAAGTGGCGTGCCTTTTTGGTTGATCCGGCACTTACACTCGCTTGGCTCATACATAGGCTAAGTTCTAAGGGCTCTCCTAACGCTTATAGTGCTTACGTCCGTTGCCTTGTTGCTTTCAGACTTCCGACAAGTTTTAGGAGCTACTGCGCTGCGAAATCATGCTTACTAATGAGCACTTCATAATAACCAACAGAGATACAGTTCGTGTAACTCTCAAAGGAAAGATCAGTCGGTACATTTGAAACGTAAGTAATACTGATCTTTCTTCACATGTTGTATCCATCACTGTCCTGTGACTGACCTCGGGTTATGTTTTGTGGTTGCTGTTGGTGCTGTAACATGTCCAGCTTTGTGTATCGCCATGTTGTCAGATATCTCTATATTGTTCATTTTCTAATCGTTATTATTTTTCTTTTCACTCGCTGCCGTCTTCGTTGCGTTCTCCAGGCCCGCTCCTAAACCAGAGTAAGTAAACAAAATATGCAATATCTAGTAAACGCTTCGCTTCAGCGCCACATGTTGGCTTGTGGTGTTTCTATTGGAATGATTGGCAGTAACTTACAATATCCTAGCAATATTGACCTCGATCTATATAGTTCATAGGATTTTTTTCCAAATTTAAAACAACTTACGATGGCTTGTAACGCAGTGTTGTTGTTATGGGTGAGCGAAAATTAATCTCGTGCTTTATTTTGTATTTTTGAAATATCTATGTACACAAACGACTTTTACAACTGAGATTTATTCAGCTTCATTCAGCTCAGATTTATTCAGCTACAATATAATTAATAAACGTATAAATAATATACGAAAGAAAGAAGGATAAAGGTCGTTTATGTTACATATGATAGTGGAGCGTAGAACATTGCATAGATAAGTATGTAGAGGCTGATTGTCGTTTTCTGTTTCTAGGAGTAGACCGTCGATCGCGTAAGTTGCACCGCTCTCTGTGGTGTCACTAACTGTATTCCTATCATTAACATGAGGCGCGGGCGCATACATAATTGTATTCGCATCCTAAATTCCAGAACGATCGCGTGCCGGCGTGCGTATAACCACACGACGGTTGCTATTTTTGCCGGTCGGCAGCCGTTCTATTTTAAACTGTACACTGTGCGCTGCGCCCGCGTCGCTAGAATAACGTCATATGTCGGTCAACGGACTAGCCGTTGAGTTGTCTCCGCTTATTCCTTAATTGCATGAGAGGAAAAGCATGACATCGAAGCATGATTACCTAGTAATATACATAATAATTTATAATAATATGTGTAAATGTGAAACATAGTCATCTTTAAAGTAATCATTTAGAGAAAAACACACCGAATATATTACGATTCGGAACACTGCACACGCTTTAGTAATAATGAATAATAAAAAAATATCGACGTAAACGTTCGACTTAGCTTCCGTTAATGTTACTGAAGTGATAATGTTAAAATTATGTTGTACGTTTATACTGTAGACACATCAGCTAAAAATATAACAAAATGTACAGTTCTAATATGACATATTATATCGGACGCTACTAAAATAGCGTAACCAAAAAACTTATAGTTCTAACTAAGTATAATTAAAATATATTTAAACTCGATCATCGTAACAGGAGTTATATTTATGTTTGTCAAGTCGTTAATTGTTACAACGACGGGTAACATTGACTAAAATTAACAAAATCATTTAGAGAAAATTATGTTATTACAAATATTTTTAATGTTCGCAGGGGTGAGGGAGATCCAGAATTTATCAAGGTAAGTGAGATACTGTACATAATGAAATAAATATATTACGTAGTTTAACGTCGATTTTGAATAGGTTTATTGACATTAAGTTTTGGTCTGCGTCTACAGCGTCAAGACCAGAAGCGGTCGGACTTGGATGAACAGCTGAAGGAATACATCAACGAATGGCGCAAACAACGGGCCAAGGAGGAGGAGGAACTCAAACGCCTCAAAGAGAAGCAGGCCAAGCGCAAGGTGAGGCATCGATATCTGTACATGTATTTTTATAATTGTTACCACAATTAAACAATTAAGGTTTGAACCGATTCCGCTGAAATCGCAAACACAAACTTGAAATTTTTTAAACAAATGATCACTCATAAAAGAGGAAATTGTAAATTTCAATATCTAATTTCTGTAACATCATTATTTTGTAGGTGTCTCGCGCAGAAGAAGAGAAACGCCTCGCCCAGAAGAAGAAGGAAGAGGAGGAGAGGCGAGTCCGTGAAGTTGAAGAGAAGAAACAACGTGACATCGAGGAGAAGAGACAGCGGCTCGAGGAGGCCGAGAAGAAACGCCAGGCTATGCTCCAGGCTATGAAAGAATCCAGCAAGACCGGACCTAACTTCACCATACAGAAGAAGAGTGACAACGTTAGTAGCATATCCTATACACTATTTTGACATTACATGTTTAGATATAACCGATTAAAAATATAAAAGTTAATATTTAGTGTACTATTAGTAATATCTTTTTGTTTTATTAATACAGTTTGGCCTCAGTAACGCTCAACTGGAACGCAACAAGACCAAGGAACAGTTGGAAGAAGAAAAGAAAATCTCCCTCTCCATCCGTATCAAGCCCTTGAACATCGAAAACCTCTCCGTCGACAAGCTCAGGATAAAGGCCCAAGAACTCTGGGAATGCATCGTCAAACTAGAGACCGAGAAATACGATCTCGAGGAAAGACAAAAGAGGCAGGACTATGACGTGAGTATACACACAAACAACTACGTCCTTTATACTATAAAACTTAAACAAGCTAACGAGCTAAGTTAACGATACATAATAATACGTACTAAAGTTTCACACATCAACATTTACCAGACCGCCATTAAATGAGTTCATCACTCGTTGGCCACCTTTTTAAATATTTGGCATACTCCCTAAGTCCTAAGAGCACGCCTCGATGTTATCGAACGTCAGTGATAATTAATAAAGATATTTTTGTTTACAGTTAAAAGAACTCAAAGAAAGACAGAAACAACAGCTGAGACACAAGGCCCTCAAAAAGGGTCTCGACCCCGAAGCCCTTACAGGCAAGCACCCCGTGAGTGTCACACATACTCGTATTATTATTTAAATGAGTCTGCTATGTTTGTATCTGTCAGTGCGACTCACCAAACCATATCTATTGCAGCCCAAAATCCAGGTCGCGTCCAAATATGAGCGACGTGTGGACACGCGGTCCTATGACGACAAGAAAAAACTCTTCGAGGGTGTAAGTATACAAACATCACTTTGAGATTCATTCTAGTCTGAGCTACAATTCTGCGTTCGCAGTTTGATCGAGGAGATTTAAAAGTACTTTATTATGTAATATACGAAAGTTATGGTTTAGTTTTTATTAAAACATCGAAAGTTACACTTGGAAAACTATTTCTGTCGGTTGTTTAGGAAGGTAGATCACTTTATAAATTAATGAAAATACGTACATATAAATTCTGCAGTTTTGCTAAAGTCTCGGGTAGCTTGATAGTGTAGGACTGATTTTTATCTTATTGTGACCATACAGGCTCAATTCGATAAGGATTAACATATAACCACCAATGAAATAAAAAAAGATTATTTTTTTATCGTTGTTGTCATACAATTTTCATTCATAATATTTTTATTTCCCTGTTGGTAGATGAAAACCACACCTCGGGCACTCGAGACATTTGTTTTATTTTCCAAAGTATTATTCTAGAATATCATATAAATCCAAGTGTGTATTGTAATGTATCGATTTAAACGGCAGGGCTATGATACTTATATGGCAGAGCACATGGATAAAATGTGGAATGACAGGATGACAGAGTTCATGAACCGGAACAAAAGTAAGAGAGGAACGGTCCCATCCACCGCATGTGTACTCGTGTGTACTCGTGTGTACGCGTGTGTACTCGTGTGCCCGAATCTAGCGCGCGCTCCTGGACGCTCCACTGCACCTGCACGTTGCACGTGCACGTTATTATGGTGTCTCGATGGTTTGTTTGTCTGATCAGTAGGCGATTATTTTATGATGAAATAATAAGAAAAAAAAAAGAAACACCATCGACATACCATGATTGCGTTAGCGTTTAGCCGACGTTTTGTTTAGGGCCAGTTTCACCATCGAATCTAGAAAAAATGGCACGTCCGAAGTTTTAACTATGCACCTCCCCAGTCAATCCGACCTTTAGAGACGAGTATTGAAGGCATTCTATTTGAACCATTACATTTTATGTTGTCGATTTGATCGTTTCGTGCACAATATCCAAGCCTGCAGAGCCCTAGAATCCGTTTGTGAATGTCACGTATTGACCCCTGTGTTAACATCTAGGACCTAGAGAAATTGAACAAGGACTTCCTCGAGAAGGTGTGGCAAGAGAGGGCCGACCAGTTCGGCGGCAGACAAAAGGGTGAGTAGTACTCCTATACCAGACAAAATATATATACATAATGTAGTATTTTTATTAAACAAAATATTTTGTCTGGAATCACCGAACCGACTCAGAAAATGAAACAATTTAAATGACGTCCAGTGATTTTACTTTGTTTCATTTTCAAAGTTAAGTAAGGAAAGCCTTTTTCATTTTTTTTTTGTTAAATCCTTTTATTTTTACCGAGTCCGAATTTGTGAATGCTGTTTTAAGTTTTTATAAGTGTTTCCTTTAGACTGATACATTCACCATTCATAATTCAGTATTTACTTAGATGTATTTTTATATGCTAAAACAATTACAAGATGAGAACAACACACTATTTTCGTAACTACGAGTATTATATATGATAAGGTTAAACATTATTAAGTTCATATTTAATTGAATCGACTTAAAATTTACTGTGTCTTTCCACTCTGACCAACGGAAACAGCTAATTTTTTTCGTTCTCAACGAAACAACTATCCTGATATTTTATCATTTTTTATGCCCAATTTATACTCTTTTCGGAAGCAAATAAAGTAAACATTCTGAAATAGTACATATCAATAACAAACATTAGCTAAAGCAGTTTCTTTCTAACTAACAAGAATACATTTCCAGCTTTTCAAACTTTGTTCTGAAAGGATGTATCTAAAATGTTAATATTTATACTTTTCCAATTTCCCTTATTTCTTGGAAACAAAATGAATAAATTAAAGAACCATTATCACAAATCCTACAAAAAACTGAATCTATAAAAGCATATTCAAGCTAGGGTTGTATACTAACACAGAAAAACTTATTATTCGTCGATACTGTACACATATTTTCATGTGTGCCTTAATTTAAATGTAATATTTATTAATGATGGTGTCTACACAGCGCGACTGCCCAAATGGTTCGGCGAGAGGCCGGGCAAGAAGAAGGGAGAACCAGAGTCGCCCGAGGGTGAGGAGGAACTGAAGGCCGAGCCCGAGGAGGAAGAACCCGTCTACGAACCTGAGCCCGAGGAGGAGGAGGAGGAGGTCGTCGAGGAAGAGGAGGAAGAGGAAGAGGAGGAGGAAGAGGAGGAGGAGGAGGAAGAGGAGGAGGAATAAGTAAGTGTAAGACACGCCCACCATCAAAAGCGGTCGATAAACTTTTAAACTATTGAGAGTATAGTCGTAGTCTAGTGACTACAGAGCCAGCAAAGTATTCGAACGGTTAGTAAAATGTTTAAGGCGGATTCTAATTAAAGTTCCTTTTTGAAGAAGCATTTTGTGAAAGCATATATGCATTGTAGTAACATAATTGCACCATACAAAATATTTAACTTTAACTATAACATTCATTTTACAAAAACATATTATTTAAAAGTTGTTTTCTATAAAATAATTATTCTTAAGTCACCATTACATTTAACGATATTGTTGCATATCGTTTGTTACAGATATAAGGTATCACTGAAACAGGGAAGCTAGAGAGCCGACACGGACCAGATGCGTCGGGTTATCCCGTTTTGTAACCAATCCATTAACTTATTACTATTATAAATTATTTTTATTATTTATACTGTTGAATCGCTCGTTACGGAACATGGACTTTGCACTCGCATACGCGTCACGTACACCTGTGGCCACACAATAAACTAATTTATTTCATAAGAGTGGACTGTTTTTTCTTTAACCTTTTTCCCTTTTCCGTCCTTTTAATAAACACAATAAAATCCTGAAAATATCTTTATGTTGGAGATTTATAAACACCGTTTACTTTACATATATTGTCAATGTAAAATTGTGTGCATTGTCAGTTTATATTCATTATAATCCAACCTCACCTAAACCTAAGATTTAATCTAACGAGATAGATTATAAACTGACGACAATTTTACGTTAACATTTACTTGCACATAATTTGAGCATAAAAAAAATCGCATATATCTATTATGTATATATTTTGTATAAAATACTTCCAAGTAATATAATCGATAAATAAAAAAGAAATATTTTATTAATAATATATCGTGTATTCAAACAATCATTATTATAGTAATATAATAAAATAGATTAGAAAAAAAAAGTTGAAACGATAGTCTATGATAACTACAAACGAAACATCCAAAAAATATGCTGATGAAAATTAACACTCTTTATATTCTATACAAGAGTTCACAATTTTAAAGCAACATTACTTATTGACTAATTGAATATTCGCATAGTATTTTTTATTGTTTAATCGTCTTCTCTATTATATTCATTTCGATCGGTTTAATGAGATTTTTGAAAATATTCTGATGAAACAGCGATCGAATTTGTTTTAAAATCGACGTATATTCAATTGTCTATGAATGTCTACTGTGTCGGATGCGTGTTGCGTGACAATAGTTATCATAGATGTAGTGAATACTTGTCTAGGCGGCGGGTATGGGGCAGGCGGGGGGCTTCTGCGGCGCCGCCTTCTGCATCGTGTTGATCTTATCGCCCAGACTCAGCGCCATGCCCTGCACCGGGACGATGTCAACGTTAACTATAATATCTGAACGCTCTATCTTTACACAGTCAACGACATACCTTGATATATTATCGCACCAAAATATAAACGTTAAAATTTATAGTCTAGTTCGATATGTGATTGGCCGTTCCACCGACAAAAGTATTGATGTGTAAACGGGCGCCAAGTTCAGTAAACAATCCTTATATATGTTATTTATTTATAAAATCGTTTAACTCTTTTAAATAAAACAAAGCAATCAACTTAAAATTGACAGCAGCTCAAAATTTGACTTGGCTAGTTTTCATACACTTCGGTAAACAATACGGGTGTAGACAGTACACGAAAATAAATATATTACCGATAATCACACTTATGCATATTATATTTATAATATTGCCTTAACTAATTGTGAAAAAACAAATATTTAATATTCAATGTCACGTGACCGCAAACAGCCTTCTTAATAATATCAGAACTTGTGAACCGTATTCGTACATAACTATAGTTTCAGAGCGCCGTGACGTCATAGCGACGCCATGAAATTGCATTTTCACGGAAATTTTGAAAATTAATTTATTATTAGATTTTTAAAATATTAAGAAAGTTGTCTAAAACCCTATTTAACATATTTTCTATTAATTTCGCCATTTACAAGGTATTATTGCCGCGTAGGGCTTCCAATCTCAGAATACCGAGATCTCGCAGAAAAAAACATGAATACTGACCTCTCGCAAGCGTGATCGATCGCTGACTGACGCACAAAATTACCAAACTGAATACTTTAAGCCATAATTACTTCTATCAAGATTGTTTCGTTTTAATAAATAAATATGGAGTTATGTTGATTAGATCATGATTTTATTTACCTAAAATAAACATTAATATTTTCTATGTGCGGGATGCCGCAAATACCGGGATCCCGAGGGACTGAAAATATATAGTACCGCAAATACCGAGACTGAACACAGGCTATGGGATTGGAAGCTCTAATGCCGCGCGACGACGGCCGCTGCCGCTGGGACCTTCCCACGTCGAACAAAAATGAGGATGTTCCTTCTCGTAGGTCACTCTCGTTGTTGCTGTATTTTTGCCCCAAAATATTGTAAGATTCCGCTTGATATGCATACCTGGCTCTTGGCCCGTATGCGCACGTGGCCCACGACGGGCGCGTTGGGCTTGTGCAGCGGCGTCTCGATGCTGAGGTTGGCGAGTGCGTCCTCGCCGAATATGGAGCGCGCGTACAGGTTGGCCGCCATGAAGCCGCACTGCCCGGACAGCGCCTGCGAATGAACACTGCTTACTCAAGTGCGCTTATCTAAACCGGGCGTGCACTGATTAACCGAACGTAGTACATTTTAAAGTGGTGTTAAAATAATATCAGATGTAAAAAAATCTTAATCGTGGTCAATCAGTCTTGCACGATGTTTCGATTTATTAAATTTCTTCATTAAAAAGAACCGTTCGCATTTATGAGTTTTAATCATTGATAGATACGTTGGTATACCTCAATTGATACTCATAATATTTATTGTTAGTTTGAGTATTGAGTGTCAGGTAGAAAATTAACCATCCCGATGTGACGCTGCAAAATTGGCCCAAAGTGGAATTCTTACTTACTAGAAATTTTGGGTATTCCCCGTAATATGAACACGAAATGCGAATGTGCAAATGGTTAGTTTCTTTGATTTTTCTAACAATTTATTGCTTATGTTCACGTAATAAAGTTTATTGTAGTAAGTAGGTAATAAGGTGCCGCATTCCCCTACACGTTACTGGGAATCTTTGCACGAGTACTACTTTTAAATTATTTTAAATAAATAAATATTAAATATATCTAATTCAATCTGTATTTGACACTTTATCAATTCTTCGATTTAAAAGATCAAATATTAAATAAAGCCACTATCAGCTTAAAAATCGCAGCTTTTCATATCATTATATATATCGGATAAATATCAAATATCGGGTTTTTGCAAACCCTGGTATAAATAATAAATTGAAACAATTTCATTTTATACTATAATACTATATACTATTTTATTTGTGCTAGCAAATTTTGAATATTAGAACTCGATACTATATATCGACGCGATAAAAAAAGACCATGCATATTCTCTTTTACTGTACGAATAACAAATCAGTACTATAATCAGTCTTATTGTTAAACAAAGGGACACTATATGGTACTAAACATATATTTATCAAAATGAAGTTGGCATAATCATACCTTATCTGGTGTAAGGCATTTCATATTCGTAGACGCCAGTAAGTGGTCCAGGTATTCCCGCAGGTCTGTGATATTTGTATTCACAGATACCTGTAAGAAAAAAACAGCTTAATTATCTAATAATTTAAGAGAATAAATACCGGTCACACGAAATAACATGACATTCAAGACTAACGAATCTTTCGAGCACAAGAGTTCCTGAAAAACGACTTGTGTGTGAAAGTTTAAAATATTTGTAAAAATATGACTTTCCACCGGACCTGTCAACTGCTTTTTTTTTTATTATAAATTAATTGTCCATTAATGTAAAAGGAACAGCGTGTCTGCAAAGAAAACTGCTACTGTTTATGGAACTATTGCCCGGACATACTAGTCGACTGAAAACTTTTCTATTGAATTGTTACTTTTGTTGTATCTAGTATTGATAAGTCGGTTGTTTTGTTTGAAACCTCTTAACCCCTGCGTACACGTAGTACAGCGGCCTCTAAACTGTGGCCGCGGTACTACGTGTATACTGGCACCTCGACCTCCACTTCGATTCACTCACAAGATAACTCCTCCCCTTGAGAGGCACGATGACCATAGTATACCAGTACGCGATCGTACCTTGTTCTCCCACTCGAACTCCGCCCACATGGTGCGGAAGTCGGCGTCGCTGCAGACGGCGGGCTGGATGTAGTCCACTATGTCGATGTGGACGTCGTTCAGCACCACCACGCCGCGGTCCATGGACGCGCCGGTCACCTCGTATACTGTCCCGTAATATGATCAATGACGTACATGAGGAAAGTAACGACACTAAACTTATATTCTTTAAGATAACAGAGGATCCTAGGGTCTAGTTGTGTGAAGATCTTAACCGAATCAACTCGGTGAGTCGATTCAGCAAAATGATGCACTGATCCGAATGGTTCAGTGGATCAGTAGCGCTCACTGACACGAATTAACGAAAGCATGAACAGAGCAGAACTGAGCGATTCTTCAGAATGATTCGGGAGACATCGAGCCGTAGTCGGTAACAAATGTGTGCATTTGGCGGCCAGCTAGTGGCTATATTTATTTATTTACTACTTTTACTTGACTCTTGTTTTGATAATCAAGGTTTAGAATGCAAAAAGCGATTTTGTCATTAAATTAGAAGATTGCAATAAGCATGTGTATACATATACATAAAAGAAACGAATAGAACAATACAAAAATACGATCGATTCGATTCTAAGTGTATTTTGAAACTTCTTATAATAAAAAAGTATTATTTTGTTTTATATTAGTACGTAAATCATTTTATGATGGGTATGTTCCGATATACACTGCGACCACTGAACAGTATGACGTCAATTTAGTATACTGGAAGCCCGTTCCTTTATAGCTAGTTATACTGGTGACTTTTTAAAACGGAACGCAGTCCAGTATACTGTTAATCCTATTTTTGGCGCCATTTTCAAATTTGTTAATGCAAGGTGAATATAAATATAAAGATTCCCTCTTTTCAAAAGAAAATATTATAAAATTGGAAAATTGTATAAAAAAAAATATTTATCAATTAAATCCATCTTATAATAAATGTAAGTATTTTATTTTATCTGTTTCGACTGATCACGTGGTCAAAAGCACTGCGAGCATTTTATCTCGAAACCTCCAGTGCTCACAGTACAAATATGGCGGCAATTTATGACGTCATAAATTTCCCTAGGGTACTGTAGCAGTGTACTGGCAGTGCATAACGGAACGGATTTTTCAGCAGTAAGACCACTTTATTAAACAAATATTTTATATCAAAGGGCAATGAAAAGCATTAGGTGATTTTAAAATATATTCGTAACACGATTAAGTACTCGTTCTCTGCTCCTAAATCTGTCTGAGAACCGATGATACAAACGAAGCACTAATAGATTCAGATGCAAATGATTTAATCTTACTACTAGGGTCTTTCATAGGTCGAGTTAC